ATGAAATTACATAAAATAGTTTCTTTTGAAATTAATAAAGGTGACCAAAGAATTACTATGTTGGCAAAGAACAGTGAGTAGGTCGTAGACTGTCCGAAGAGGGAATAAATCTGCCTTGGAAATGTGATAAGCTTGGTTGTATAAATCCAGTGATGCTTGTGGGTGTGATGCATTTGTAGTTCAATTCGGGCACTCTCAGGGTCTAAGGATCAGATGTTAAACTGGAGGCTTCTATTGACTTTCATAACTTCAGGGACAGATAAATCCAAGGCTGACAAGAAGATCACATGGTGGTGACTGAGGCGTACAAGAATCCAAGGTCAGAAGGTCAGGGTTATGATTGGAAAGGCAAATGAATTCAAGATTGGCAGGTCACATGGCAGGCTGCCAATGGCTCCCAGCTCAGTCAAGCAATATGGCAGAGGCTCTTGCCCAAAGAACTAGAGGTCAATGAGCCTGATGCATGATTCAGACTCAGCAAAAAAGAAAACAAACTTGTCTATAGCATCCACTAATATGAAAAGCAGGTTAGACCTTTGAAACAAATGTTTAAATCGCCTCAGGGCTGTGATCTTAATAAAGAGATCACATCCCACCCTAATCTCACAGCTGATTGGCTACTCACACCAGATCCCATTATGGAGTTGATTCCTTAACTGCAATCGGCAACATCATTATAACTGGAGAAGAGCTTGAAGTCGTCAAAGATTTTGTCTTGCTTGGATCCACAATCAGTGCTCATGGGAGCAACAGTCAAAAGATCATAAGACATTTTGAATGAGGTATAGATGCTGCACAAGACCCATGTAGGGTATTGAAAGCAAGGATATCACTTGAGGACTAAGGTGCACCTGACACAAGCCATGACATTTTCCATCGCCTCATATACATGTGAAGGTAGGACATGTCATAAAAATATGGAAGAAGAATGGATACATTTGAATGGGGGTGCTGCTGGGAAATGTTACAAATACCACCAACTGCTGAAAGGACGAGCAAATCTGGCTTGGAAGAAGTATGGCCAGAGAGCCTCTTAGATGGCAACATACTGTGTTACAGACTTGGGTCATCTTGTTGGGGAGACCAGTCCCAGGAGAGACATTATGCTCAGCAAAGTGGAGAGGCAATGCCAAACAGGAGGGTCCTCTCTGACATGGACTGGCACAGTGTCTGCAGCAATGGGCTCAAGCACGGGTACAATTGTGAGGATGGCGAAGGACCGGGTAGTGTCTAGTTAGGTCATGCATAGGATCACTATGGGTTGGAACCAACTTGATGGCATCTAACAACAACAACAACATTGTATTAGAGCTAATCATTGGGTATTACAAGGATTTAACTGCCAAACCCTTCAGAATCCCAGTCTAGCAGGTGTCATAAAACATCCCAGAAGAAGAGCAAGGACAGTGAGTCTTCATCTCCCGAGATTTAGATCTGTTACCAGGAGAAACTATTTCCTGCAGAACATCCCGTTGTTGTGTAAGGTAGCGGAACAGAGCAAAAGGTACAGCCCCCAGGGATGCGTGCTGACACAGTGTCTGCGACAATGGGCTCAAACAGAGTAAGGATGCTGAGGGTGGCGCAGGGCTGGGTAGCCGTTTGCCTTGCTTTACATCACATTGCTCAAGTGCAGTTCACAAGCATAACATGTAACATAATTTAAAGGTTTCTAATTCAATATAAAATCCAACATAAAAAAGCATAAGGTGGATATCAAGAAGTATAAGAAAACAGCTGCAATTTATTCTTACGCTGAAAAAGGAAATCAACATTGTATTTCCTTGGAAGACTTTTTTTTGTAAAACTGTGCTGTTTTGCCTGGGGAGCACCATGAACAGTGACATCTACTCGGCATCGACGCTGTTTGTTGTAACCAGTACAATACATTTGAGTATATAATAAATCATACACAGTTTTCCACTTGATTTTATTGCGGTATGCAACTCGGTTGGGAAAGCCTGCTTCTTGAGCTGCACCATTTTATGATTAGCTGTAAACTAGTTATATCGTTTGTATTTAAATAGTTTGGGTGGTAATAACCATGTAGACACTTGGTTGGTTAAATTAAGTGAAAACCATTAAAGCTGAAACCGTTTTAAATGGTCTTTGTCTGTCTTTCATGATTCAGGCTATCTGGCATGAACATACCACCGCCAATTATCAGCAACAAAAACTGGCTCAGACTGCACTTTGTCACAGACAGCAATCACCGCTACCGTGGATTTAATGCACCATATCAAGGTATGTTTCATAAATAGTGCTTCCTTTTCTGATGTGTAAGAACATTTTGGTAAACACCGTGAGCTTTTGACACACTTAATATTCTGAGCTTTTAAAATGATCCTTCTCGTTGAGGCAATAATATGATCATAATAAATTACATCATAAAATTAGTTGAAATTTATAGCACAATGTTCAAAATGAAAATATGATTTTTAAAATGCATTATGTTGCAAATGTAATATTTTACTTTAATCAAGCACTTCAGTGATTGGACTTGGTACCAATAGCTGTACCATAAAACATGGCAAAAACAGCTGCAGTGTAAATAGGCTCTCCATAAACGGAATCCTATTTTCAAATACACTATTATTTTTAGTTCAATTAACCTTATCAAGGTGATCATATGCCATTTTTATTAACAGCAATAATTTTAAATAAGTATGTTATTCTATTTTATGCATGGACTTGGCAAACTCTTATTTGGGACAAGATTGTTATGAAGTTGGAGTTCTACCTTTCTTCCACCATGTTCTGTAACATATGGGTTTCAGCATATTGGGTCCTCAAACTCCTTATGTAAATAATTTATTATCCCATTATTACCACTGAGTCAGCTACCGTTCATGAACTAGTAAGGATTTCCAGGTAGATTTCACCCCACCCCCATTGATCAGTTCTTAGTTTGTTTTCAGTGCTTTTGTTCTTGTAGCCTTTAGCCTTCAACATCCTGCAGATTAAATGTGATGTCAGGCAGCTTTGATTTAATCTCTAACAATTTAATAAACTACATATTGTTTCATAGAAAGACAGTTTCAATCATTAATTTTTATTTTCTAAATCGGTAGCCTCTTGCAGCTGTCCTAGCAATAAGATTTCCTTAAAAAGGGTAACAAGTTTATCCATGTGTTATTTCACATTCATGATAGAACAGCAGGTACTGGTGTAGTAAAAATATCTAAGGCAATAACTTACAAGCTAAAAAATTTAAGCAATATTCATATATGAAAATCTATAATAATTTATATTTTAATTTAGTTAATGGCTGTGAAGATATGAGTGAATTCTCTTTTTTAAACTACACAGATTATTAACATATCATGTGATAAAATGTATCCCCCTTATAAAACATAGGTATATAAAAAATTTTTTGAAGTAAATATTTAAAAGCAAATTCATTTCCATGCTTATTTTTTTCTTAAATAACTTTATGGTGTCATGATTTTTGCCACTTTAAATCAGTGCCAATATTAAGTGTGAAATACTATTTATGTCCAGTCTCCAATTTCTAATTCTGAAATTAAAGGGCACTTCCATAATCAAAGGACTTTATATTTAAAAAGAAATAATTGACATGGAGCCTCTTAATGCCTGAGTTTCCCCGTGGAGTTTTCTGGTTTCACGGCTCCACAAAGAGGTAAGGCTGAGGGCATGACACAAATTCAAAATACCGGACTCATTGAGTCATGTGACGATGACCTTTCCTTATACATTTGAGGACTCTTTTAGACATAAAGTTCCCAGTAATTATCTGAATGGAAATAAGGAAAAAATATATCTCCTCTTAAAAAAAGTTAAGTGGGACTGGATTCGCTTTATCTAGTGCAGCTTCATGAGAGCTTTTGGATGAGGGGGATTTGCATTTAAGACCATGGCACAAACGTGCCAGTAGCTCTGCGTATCTAATGACTGTTTCCAATCTGCTACCAGTAGTCTTACAAGGACTTTTATAGTATTTCCAAGATTCAATTTGATTTTCCAGCATTGCCTATTCAATCTCACCACTAAAAAAAAAAAAGTATTTCAATGAATCACTGTAATAAACAGAAAGTAAGTTCTTTATTGGTCACAACTTTTTTCAGTAAGAAAATCAGCTCAAAAAATGTAATTGACAGTATGGACTACATTTACATTAGAGTGGAAATTTATCATCCTATGAGAATGGGAACTATTATGGAGTGGCAGTATTAAAGAAATGCTTTATTATATAAAATATGCCTTTTTGTCCTATTCTCTTAAAAGGTTTATTGCTTCAAGTTTGAGTGTTGTAATTGTATTATCTCCAAACAACACTTTATCTAGATAATATAAAATCAATTGTAGAAGTAAGTTTTGAAACTCTAATTTAATGAAAGCATTTGGATGGAAAAAAAACATGAGCTAATTAAAATGTCTGTAGAGTTCAGAATTGTCACATGCTGAAATGCTTGCACTACTCTGACATGGAAACCTGTGTTTTGTAATGTTCTGTGATGCTCTTTCATTCAATGATATCTGAATTAAAACCAATTCAACATAGAAAAGGTTGTGATAAATAATATATAAAATCCCAAACCAAGTCTACATGTATTTCTTCCTAATCACTCAAATATGTATCAAATACTCACAATTATTATTGATTTACCTAATATTTTTAATGTAGTTAATGTTTTAATGGAGCATCAGATTATCAAAGATTGCTGTTTTTGACATAGCATTTCTACTGACTCTCTGTCTTCAGTAAAATAACATGAAAGTCGACCCCAGACAACAAAATATTTCAGTGAATGATTTCAGCTAGTTTTTAATAGTTTGGTCCATACTTGTTATAATAGATACATAGGTAGTCCCTGATGTGATTTACCAAATGCAACAATTTTTAAGATATATCATAAATTAGCTCCCTTATTTGTTTACATAATATAATTTTAAGTAAAGTTAAGTAGAAACTGAGGAGCAAAAGTAGAAAAGTAACAATTCTATTCACAACTCAAAAATATCAAGAAAATTTTGAATTTAAATAAAATCCTGTTCATATGGTAAGCAATTTTATTCTCTCAGGCACCACAGGGAATATGTCCACCCAAACCCAAACCCATTTCCGTTGAGTCATATTCCAATTCATAGCCCCTCTTTAGGACAGAGTAAAATTTCTCCAGAGGGTATATGAGACTGTCAATCTCTAAAGAGACAGACCATCATCTATTTCTCACATGAAGCTATTAGTGGGTTTGAACCACCTACCTTCAGTTAGCAAGCAAGCACTTAATCCCTGAGCCTCCAACATCCCAAATGTGTTCATATCTACATAAAAGAGCAAACACATCTAATTTCCCTCCATTTCCTTTTTATGAGCATCTCTCATTTAAAACAATTGTATCATCTCTTCTTTTTTTTAATAAATGATTCCTCCTTACATCTCAACTCCTCACCAAATAAAATCATTCCAATGTGATTTTTCTCAGTCTTTGCTTTTTAATATTATTTTTGCATTTAAAATTCATTAGATATCTTCTGAATAGAGTTTTAAGTGTGCTGCTTGTCACATGAATTACATGTTTTTAAAACCGTGTAACTTGAAAGTCCTCTTATGTATTATAAAATTCTTCATAGTATTACTGGATCTCTAGGATCATGTTCTATTCATTTCAAATCAGGAGGGAATGTTGAAGTGGGACTCCATTGTCTAATACAGACTACTTTTGCTCAGCAAGGTATTTTTAAGACATTATTTTAAATCTACATGGTTCAACTATTTAAATAGGAAATGTATGAATGTACCTTTTATTTTAAGTCACCATGCTTTCCAAACATTTGTTTTGTAATGTCCAATCATGGATATTGTAACTTTCATTGCAATTGTACATGACATATAAGGCTAGGAATTGCAGTATTTCATAATTCCAAATATCTAGATATATGACTATTCTCATATTCTAGTTATTAAAGCACAGTGCTTTGAATTGATCCCCATTCATAGAAACCTTATAATCTAGCATATAACATTCATATGTTTTGCAAGGCTATCATCTTTAAAGAAGCACACTGCTACATCTTTCTTTCAAATAATAGCTAGTTGATTCCAATTGCCTAAAGGCCAATTGACATTTAGGCTAGCTACTGAACACTTAGCAACTATTTCACTAGGACTCCTTATATTCTGGAAAACTAAAACTAAACTTCTTGCCACCAAGGTGATTCTGACCCCAAGCAATCAAACAAGACAGAGTAGAACTGCCTCTGTCAGTTTCAGAGGAAGTAATCATCATGGAAGCAAAATACATTGTCTTTCTTCCATGGAGTGGGCTGTGGTTTCGAAGTGCATAACCTGCTCTACCACCAGAAATCTCTGTAGATTTTACCATGTTATTATTTTTCCTGTTTTTCCTTCCATAATTTTGTTGTATGTGATTCATCTTATTCAGGTAAATATTTTATAAACTCTAATTTTTAATGTAATAAGAACTTATAAAGAATAATAAATGTACAATTTTAGATTAATAAAATATTTATCATGGGTTGTCAAATAATGTCATAATTTTTGATCAACTGGACATTTCTCATAATAGAAAAATGTTCTTAATGGACAGGACTTCTAAACTATTGAAAATGCCAAGCAACAAATTTCAGGTACACAGAGTTCTTGGCAGATTAGACAGATACACATAAAAACTTTGAAAGTAATTATTCTTTTTTTCTTCTTGTATTTGGAATTTGGTTGGAAGTGTACACAGAAAAGTATTGAAAAATGATGAAAAGGTTTTGGGTTAGACAGAATCATAATTTGAACCAATTGGATTCAGGTCAGAAAATACAGATTCAGTAATCAAAATAATAATTGCTAAATTCTATGAATTTAGTTTCCTCATCAGCAAAAAGAGGCACGTAAGCAGATATATTGTTGTGCAAGCAAAATGTACTCAGATTTCTTATATGAAATTTCAGATATGGAAGAAGTGAAGATACTTCAAGGCAAAGAGCTAGTCAATATGAATGAGAAAGCACATAGTTAAAAAACAAAGGAAATATTTTAAATACTGTGTGTAACATAATATTTGAGTCAGTTACACCTATGAGATAAAATGAAAAAAATCTATTTATCATTTTTCAGTATCACAAAGGAGGATCTCAATGTTTCTCAAAAATTATAAAATATCTCTGGTGTTGTGATATAGTTAAATTTTTAGAGACTTGTGAATTCCTTAAGGCAATATCATATAATTTTAGAAGAGATTCTTCCATCAATTATAGTTTATCTGGTG